GACACAATCGGATAAACACACTTTATCAGCTAATTATGCCAGCCAGGCTCTTCTGACATAATTCAGGTAAGAGAGGCCGATACATGATTTGGGCTTTCAATATATACTCTAAGTTTGGCGTGCTTGTCCCGCATTTAAGCGTGGCATCCCAGAGTCGTGTTTAAATGACTCACAAGCGTGGCTTCGGATTCCGTTACGCGTTGGTCATCAGAGTGACAACTCAGAGTTGGGACGCTTGATAAGAATGAGTGTATTGCTTAAACTGGGTCATGGCCAAAGTGAATAAGTTCATTTCCATTGTTATTTGAGTCTACTTGTATTATTTTAAGGCCCAGCCTAATTGTGTCATATCGCGTGGGGTAGCGATGAACGCGTGGGGTAGCGCTGGAGAGAGTGGAGCCAGCGGGTCTCACAAAGGTGAGGACCAGCGGTTCTCAACACACGTGGCCCTTTTTATACTTACCTATGACATGTGGCCCTGTTTGTACTTACCTATCATGACATGTGGCTGTTTGTACTTTAATAATGACATTTGGCTCTGTTTGTACTGACCTATATTGACACACTGCTCCCTAAATATTTTCTAAAGAGACACGCATATTCTTTTTGTTCCCAAGACACGCACTAAAACATATGGTGAACGATCTTTCTCATTCTTCGCCCCCATACAATGGAATTCTCTTCCCCTACACATCCGCAATATACCGACCATCCAAGCCTTCAAAACTGCACTCAAAACACATAGACTTTACTACCCTGACCGATTACCCCCTCTGACTAATAAACGATGCTGCTGGTTGCCGTCCCTGGCTTGACGTGTAAATAGTTACGGAATGTGTGGGTTGAATATACAAGTGTTTTTATACTTTAAAAAAATAATTAAATAAACGTATGCATTTCTTAATGTGATGATTATGTTTGCGAATATTTTCATGTGTAGCGCATTGAGCCCAGCCCTAGGCCGAGGTACCGCGCTATACAAGACCACTTTAATAATAACAATAATAATAAAAAAATATAACAGATATATATGTTATAAAATGGCCCCTGGCTGAAAAAAAAAATCCAATATTTTAGAATAATTTGTTTTTAACATCTACAAAGAAACCAACATACTTGATTAATAACAACTTCAAGATAAGAAAAGATTTTATATTTTTATCATAACTCCTCCTATATTTTGAGGGCCCACGATTAATGAATTGATCATTCTGGCTCCCTATGTTTCAGAGGGGTTCGCGATGTTACTGTGTGCATGGTTTTGAAGGGGATACTTCACTGGTTGCAAGGGCTACTCAGCAGTGGTGTTATAAACTGGGGGTTGGAAGACAGGAGACAATAGACGCAAATACAGTGGAACCCCGCTATAACGCGATGATGGAGGTCCATAAAATAGACCGCGTTAAAAGCAGGGTTACGTTTTTCTCTTCTACTTTACTTCTTTCTTAGCACAGCGGAAATCCCTTACGTTTTACTATTTATAGTTCTACCGGAAGAAAGCCTCGATTTCGGCATTAATTTTGATACTAGTTTGAATGTGGTGCGTTTAGGGGCTCATTTTGTACGATATTTTGAAAAGGTTTTTTTTTTTTTTTTTTTCGCTTTAATAAATGTCTTTCCAAGCAATGGATAAAATTTTCAAAGAATTTGGGCCTGGTGGAGCAAATGAATTTCAAATTTCGTGCCAATTTTTTTTCTATTTTTTTAAAAGGTTTTTTTTTTTTTTTTTTTCGCTTTAATAAATGGCTTTCCAAGCAATGGATAAAATTTTCAAAGAATTTGGGCCTGATGGAGCAAATGAATTTCAAATTTCGTGCCAAAGAGTACTCGTTTTTATAGCCATTTTAATGTTTAAGCTACTGTTTCTAGTCATTTTTAACATAGCTGTTACCATTCTAGTGTCTCTGGTTTTTCCTTTTTATTTTACTTAAGCAGTTTAAATAGTTTACATGTTTTTAATAATTGTAAAAGCGCTTAGAGCTGTAAGGTAAGCGCTATATAGAAATGCCTAAATAAATAAATATCCGAATTCGCGTTATGGCGGGGTTCCACTGTATATCAAGTGTAGTTCGCCTCAACTGTTGCTTTTGGAAGCTTGTTCCAGTCCATTATTGTCTTTGGCAGGAATGAGGAGCTCCTGTACTGATTTCTTCTTTTTATTATCCGGAACTGAGTGTCGTGGCCTCGTCGCTGTATATGGGGGGGGGGGGGGGGGGGGGGATGGATGGAAGAGTTTCTGTTTGATGCTGGAGCAGTGGACCAGCCCGTAACTTATCTTCTAATATCAAAGCTTATTGCCTCCCGTTTGATCTGCCAGTTCACCAATGTCCAGTTTTCCCTTGGCTCAGTGATAGCGCCCTCTTCACTAGCTGGTTCAAATGGCCTGAGACGATCCCCCTCGTCATGTGTTAACAGACAAGTGCAATAGACTTGCTAGCCAGGTGGAATAGAATTGTTAGCCACGTGGAATAGAATTGTTAGCTAAGTGGAATAGAATTGTTAAAAGATGAAATAGAACTTCAGCAGATGAAATAAAATTGTTAGCCAGATGAAGTAGAATTGTTAGCCATGTGAAATAGAATTTTTAGCAGATGAAATAGAATTGTTAGCCAGGTGAAATAGAATTGTGGGAAGATGAAATAGCATTGTTAGCCAGGTGAAATAGAATTGTTAGCCAGGTGAAATAGAATTGTTAGCCAGGTGAAATAGAATTGATTGTAAATAGATGAACTAGAATTGTTGGCCAGATGAAATATGTAATTGTTAGCCAGATGAAATATATAATTGTTAGCAGATGAAATAGAATTGTTAGCAGATGAAATAGAATTGTTAGCCAAGTGAACTAGAATTGTTAGAAGATGAAATAGAATTGTTAGAGGATGAAATAGAATTGTTAGCAGATGAAATAGAACTGATAGCCAGATGAAATAGAACTGATAGCCAGATGAAATAGAATTGATTTTAAACAGATGAAATATAATTGTTAGCCAGGTGAAATAGAATTGTTAGCAGATGAAATAGAATTTGTTATCCAAGTAAGACAACTATCCAGTAGGATTAATCAAACACTGATTACATATCCTCACAGACTCAAGTCAGTAAACAGCCAATGTCTGGTAAGATTTAAATGTTCCTGTGCCAGCTGCTGCTTGAGAAGCCCTGGTCCACACAAATTGTGACACACAAAGCATTGTCATCAAATATAAAATGATAATAAAAAGTGAAAGTTTAATCTTTGGTATTTTTTTAAATTTTTACCAACATACCCATACTTAAATATAACAAAACAAAATGCATTTATGTGACCAGAGAAAATAATCTCTTAATTTTGAAGGAACAAAATACTTGTGCTCAGGAAGGAAATACAAAGTATGTAAATAAAACAATATTCTATTGAAATGTAAATAAATCATCTCTAACGATATTCCATTTAAAAGTATATAAATAATCTCTAACCATATTCCATTTAAAAGTATATAAATAATCTCTAACCATATTCTATTTAAATTTTTATAAATAATATCTAACAATATTATTTTTAAAATTAAATGTATAAAAGTAATCTCAAAATATTTTATTTAAATTTATATAAATACCGGTAATCTCAAACAAAATTCTATTTAAAAGTAAATGTATACTTGTACAGTGCTCCCTCAGTTACACAGCTATTAAAACCACTCAATGCCAGTCTTATAAGCATAATAATATTATCACATTGACTTAAAAGGCGCTATAATGATAAATGTTTAAAATTTATGAAACTCCATAAAAACAAATAAAGCATTTTGCTTATATCCAACATAATATATTCCCACCCAAACATATTTAACAATGGAGTAAATTTGACAATTAGACAATCCTATTGCCACCCAAACATATTTAACAAGAATTAAATCCCAGAACTTCTTGGAAAAACAAAATAAAATCCCCTTAAAACCATCATTGTCAGTTTGTGTTCATTATCTTACTTTCACTTTCACATCAACACTGTTTGGTTTGAAGCCCTCTGTATTTCTTAATGAAGTTTGTCCTAATGACCAAACAGTTCAAGATGAAAATGATGCTAAGGGAAGACTAATTGTAAAGTTATTTTTACTACTCATGTTTCAGAGTATTGATTATAATAGTCCTATCCGTCTTTGCAACCTTTTATCTAACAGTTTGTAGGTCAAGGTCTTCCATTGTTGCAGTCACTTCAGACAGTCAGAAAAGCTTCAAAATTTCATTAATTTAAATTCTCAACTCATTGAGTATTTTGTGTCATTGCGGACCATGTTAAGTCCATGTTACCGGGTATATAATTTTAAAATTGACTGTGGTCCAGGGGCTCTAGGTTGAGAACCTCTGGTAGAAACCAATTTCATTATATATCAAATGTTCAGTGTATAATCGTGCTCCTGATTAATATGAGCAAAGATTAAAAAGTGAGATTATGTTTAAGTGAGATTATGTTTGTGCGTGCCTCATTCTGTTGGGATATTTTTTCTTAAAAACTCCAAAATTCTCTTCCAGGAATCAACTTGAGCCCGTGCGTGGTCCAGTGGTTGACCCCCAAATTTCAACACTATACCTGAAAAAATTTAAATTACAATCATTTTTTTTTAAAATTGTGAGATCACTTAATGGTTTTTTTAATTAAAATTAATGTTAACATAGTTCAATAAGAAGTGATATTTTTGCAAAAGTAATTGTCATTAAAAGTGAACAAGGGGAGATTATTTATTTTATGAAAAAGGATTGTTTGACACAGATAATACTTTGTTTTAATACACAAAAAAAGTTTTAAATGTCAAATTTTTATAAAAGCATGGTGAATAACTTAGCAGCTTAATCTCAATAAATGGCCAGCCTTATCTCAATAAATGACCAGCCTAATCTCAATAAATGACCAGCCTAATCACAATAATTGACCAGCCTAATCTCCATAACTGGCCTGCCTAATCTTAAACTGTTCAAATTTGTAGTGAAGTAACAAAACATTTTATTTAAATCTGCTATTCCTCTATACCAAGAGGCAGGCCTTGTCTATGTTATACCCTCACCTGTTATTGCTAACACAGTAGTTATGTAAGAAGCCTAAGATTTTAGAGATACAAAGCTTTAGTTCTCATGTATGAAGTTTTATTTCTCATATAAAAGAAAGAAATTTAATTTCTCTGTGAATGCCTAAAGTATGAACTAGAAATTATGAACTTACAAAAACAATGACATTTCTTGTAAATCCTGACACACTTTCTGGCCTTAAGTAAAACCACTCAAATAAATAAAAATTTCAAAATATATCTAACTTTTCTACACTTTTCAATGTACTGCACTGCACGGTAAAATTTTAATAATCTGCTGAATATTTTGTTCCATTGTTCCATTCAATAATGCATACAAAAGGTATGCTTAGCTGTACGTTACAATCTACTGAGAGGAACAGAAATATGTTTATAGTTACTTTAATTTAACAAAAGAATTAGTTATGTTCAAAGCATTGGAGGTAATTCTGACTTTGCTGGTAAATTTATTTCTCAAGACCTATGATACATAGTTTAATATCTTGTGAAAAAATCAACTCTGTAATTGGTGTGGTGTATCAGCAGAATACAAGCCCATCAAATGCTTGTGTATCATTGGAATACTGGCCCATCAAATTTTGGTATATCAGTAGAATACCAGCCCTTCAAATATTGGCTTCGGGGTCCAAGCAACACTACCCTCCCTTCTTTACCTTTAGTGAGTTATTTTTATTGTTTTTTGTTCTTCCTTTGTGAAAACAATTATTGCTTTCAGAAACTGCACCACATGTAATGACAATGGTAAACATCTACATGACAATGAAACAACATACCATACGCAGGGTTGATAGTAGTTCTACACAGTGGGTTGAATGGTGGCTCCAACAGATGACCCGCACCTGTGTACTGCACAACTTCAATGTCTTTTTTCTTTTCTTCCGGGCAAGCTGCCAACAGTTCTTCGTGTAGGTTTGAATTAATTTGAAAATCATCCATGGATGACAGGATCAAATATTTAGCTTTACCTTTCCAAATCTGCATTAATTTTGAACAATCATAAATTTTAGATTCTGAAGAAAATTTTTGAACCAAAAGACATGAAGTAAAATTTTTTAAGTATCTTGAAGACAAGTATAAAAAATACCAAGGTTAAGAGCAAGGCTTAAGTCCTAACTGTGGAGGATCCTCCCCTCTTTGTGGGGTAAATTGTGCACAAAGTTAAGAAAAAGAAAGAAAAGTTCATCCTGTCGTATTTAAGTCAGTGGTTCCCAACATACTGACATAAAAAGACAACAGGGAATAACTTCATCAGAATTTTAAAATGCATCAAATTGGACAATAGTACAGGGGACGAATTGAACAAATGACCCCAAATGAGATAGAAATGAAAATAATGGAGGAATTAGGGCGAAATGGATTTAATTTTTTATATAAAGTGTGTTCCTTGTTACAACAGAATTGGCTATCTTGTCTTGTATGATTTTATGTGTTCTAGTTACCTAAGTTTATCTTCTAAAACGTTGGAGAATTTTAGTCATTAATTTTAGTAATCTATTTTATATGTTTACAAATATATTCGCTGTAAATAGACTCAAACATTTGGAATTTTAATAGTCAAGGATTTTCTAACTTTCAAATTGAACAAAATATGCATACAAGTAAAACACTGACAATACTAATACATGTAACACTAAACAACTCAAAAAGCAAAATCAAGATTCAAGGAGAATATTCAAGGGAATTTCATATTAGACGAAGCCTAAGACTGGGAGACTCAATGTCTTGTATGCTCTTTAACCTAACATTAGAGAGAGTTATTAGAAACATACACATTGACACTCGAGGAACAATAACAAGATACTTTCTGAGGGAAACTCAAAACTCACAATCAACGGGCACACTCTACAACCAACCACTTCAGTATCTTGCATATGCTGATGACATAGCACTGCTAGGGAAAAATATTAAAGAAATATCAAAATCCTATATTGAATTAGAAAACCCATCTCTACAAGCACGGCTGGAAGTTAACAACCAAAAACAAAATATATGACCATGATAAGAGAAGAACAAACATGAAGCAATTAAAATTAGAAACCAAACTTTTGAAAAAGTAAATCAATTCAAATACCTAGGATCCTTGTTAAATGAAAGAAATAAATTACTAACAGAGATAAAAGAAAGAATATCAGCCAGAAACAGAGCATACTTCAGTAGTCAGAAAATACTCAAAAGTAAAAAACATTACAAGAGAAACAAAGAAAACTATTTATAAAACTGTAATCAAACCAGTTGTAACATGCAAGTGAAACTCAGACCCAAACAAAAACAGCTGAAAACCTATTAAACACATGGGAGAGGAAAGTTCTCAGGAAAATATATGGGCCAACAAAGGATGAATATGGATGGAGAATTCGAACCAACCATGAATTGTACAGTCTATATCAGGATCCCACGATAGTAGCAGAAATAAAAAGAGGCAGGCTACGCTGGGCAGGACACCTAGAGAGAATGCCAAATGACAGAGGAATGAAGAGGGTGCATCACCAATACCCCAGAGGAAAAAGGCTCAAAGGCAGACCTAGGCTTAGGTGGATAGATGACGTGGAAAATGATCTACAGCAGTTGAAAGTCCAAGCATGGAAAAGAAAGGCATTATTTAGGTCTGACTGGAAGGAAGGGTGAGGCAGGCCAAAGCCCTACATGGGCTGTAGCGCCACAGGGATGGATGGAAAACACTTTATAAGAATACCAATTAATGCTGCGTGTCCCCCCACAAATTTTGTTCACATCCTGAACTATATTAATATTTTAATGACCCACTAGCTTTTACACTATTTCAGAAAAACAAAAGAAAATGTAACGCACCAAATGCACTTGCGATATTTTTTTTCTCATTTAGGGCAGTAATCAGGAATGTTATTTTTTTTAATCAGTGGCATAATATTTCCTTCATCTTCCCCTTGAAAAGCAGGAAAAACTGACTTTACGGGGTTCGGGCTAAAAATTTGAAACAATGTGTTGTCATTGGCAAAGATTCTATATGCCAAGTTTCAGGTGGATAGGTTGATGGGAAGTGGGTCAATTAGCCGGCCAAATATTTTGCCAGCTAGACACGAAACTAACTGAAGTTACTATAAACTTTAAAGGATTTCAAAAGAACCAGACCAATGCAGCAGTTTCAACATGGTCCTCTACAGGATGAATTCACTAAATCAGAGGATGAGTCTCAGGCATTCGAACAAAGTTATTTTGAGATGATAGGTATGGAAATAGATTAATTTGTTTTAGGGATATGGAATTGATTAATTTATTTTACGACATGAAATAAATATTAAACTAGTTCTGCCATAGGTTTTTATTTTCCTTTTTACACTATGTTGTTTGAAAAAAATGTTAAATGTAAAATAATTTTCACATATCAATCATGATTGTAAGAAAACACACAATTGTTTTCAAGAACATTTTATAGAATTTAAAACCTCATTTATTTGTAAATAATTAAATATATAACATGATGCGTATTAACCCTCGAACTGTAGTAGGCCTTCGAAATCGGCTGACATTCTCGTTCTGTGCTGTGGCGGCCGGAAAAATCGGCAGATAAAAAACACGGTTCGATAGAAACTTCCAATGTTTTAAGTGTATCTATAAAAATTAATGATGTTATGAGCACTTGAAAGCAAGACATTTTGTCAATTTTTATTTTCTTGAGAATTCCAAGGTCAAGGAAACTGAGCAAAATTTTTTTTTACGGGGTGGGCAATATGGCCAACTTTATCCCCATCCATTGACCTTTCTAAAAATATACACTTATAGGGGTCTTGTATCAATATTTCTATGTCATTTAATGCAATGTCAAAAGGCTCTGAAAGGATCCACAGAATGATGCATGCCACAGTTCGGGGATTAATTGGCTACTCCTTTTATGGTATCACATTTTGTGAGATGAACTTAAAAAAAAAAAAAAAGAACAACAAAACCATTGGCCTGCAGAGGGTTAAGACTTACAGGAATGATTTCACTTTGAACAGGGTAGGCAGCTCGTAGGTCTAACCCTTCATCTGTGATCAGCATATGATCCAAACTCATTCTATCAAGACAATAATTAACATAAATCCATGAATCAACAACAAAGGGAAATCATATGTTAAAATCAATTTTTTTCTCAAGATATTTAATATTAATTGCCAGTGCATTTTTTTTACAAAATCAGAAACGCCAATCACTATTACGTCATTCACTAAAACTGAATCCTCTTTAAAAAAAAAAAAAAAAAAAAAAAAAAAAAAAAAAAAAAAAAAAAAAAAAAAAAAATGAAAAGTTTTTCCAACAGTTCTATCAGTATTGCCATTCTTTGAAATAAAAAAAATTAACTAAATGCCCACTGGTCAGTTGTCCAACAGTTCTACCAGTATTGCCATTCTTTGAAATAAAAAAAAAAATTAACTAAATGCCCACTGGTCAGTTGTCCAACAGTTCTACTTCTACCAGTATTTCCATTCTTTGAAATAAAAAAAAAATTAACTAAATGCCCACTGGTCAGTTGTCCTAGGAACGGTGAGCTGCTGCATTTAGTGTGGTTTGCAGCCCTTATTTATACCTAGTATGCATGTATACATAAGAAACATTAAACTCATTCTGTTTTTAAAGAAAATACCATGTACCTGATCCATGTATTTGAACTACATAATTTTAGAAAGTAACTTCAGCCATGCAATTTGAGCAATACCACTTGTGACAATGGTCATTATTTTGACAAATATAAACAAATTTCACCTGGAACTTGCCAGAAGCAATTCTTTCTCTTATATTTTGAGTTAATTTATTAAAAATTTTTAACTTACTGTGCACCTTTCAGCAAAACTTGGCCTTTGCTTGTAAGGTCCCCAGCAGTAACAAAAGGGTAACCATTGATGCAAACAACTGCTGATATCTGTGAGGTAAGTACATTAGGAAACTATTTACCGAGTTCTGCAATTTGAAAATATTTATCTTAACAAGATCTAACCACTTTGGCACTGTACAACATTCCCTGACTAATGGAAGTAAAGATTTTGCTAAAAACTTTAGTTTTAAATTTTAACCACCCAATTTATGAGGTTATGAGCTGGTTATTTTCTTTAACACTATACGAAAGCAGTACACATAGCAAAAAAATATTGGATTTTCCTATAGATAACGGGTTAACTTTCCAGCATATTGAATAGCAGCACAGGGGAAAATATTCTGATTTAATTTCATAATGCTTCTCTTCTCTTAGTGTCCGAATGATACAATTTACCTGAAATTATACTATTTACAAGAGAAAACTAGTTTGAATTCATTCTTACTAACTAGAATATATGACCCGATGTCTTCTGGATGATAATGGAAGGCCCTTTGCAATAATTTCTAACTTTAAAAAGAAGTATCTATGTATGATATTTATGTTTCCAACATAATAAAGTTTTGAAAAGTATTAATCTGCTATATATTATACGCCTACCCTACTCCTTTTCACACCCCTAAACTACTTTTTTTTTTCGCTCTAAAAATGACCTTAAATTACCAAATCTTAATTATCACTAATTATATCACTTTTGTCGCTAAAGAAGTTAATTGAGGGACGATTTCTACGCTAGAGAAATAGATGATTTCTATGCTAGAGAAATACTTTAGATTTAACCCTTTTGTTCCCTTGGAATACAACTTTTTTTTCTCTAAAAATTGTGAAAACATAATCTTAAATTAACAACAAAAACTCTATATATAATGAAAAAATATTTTATATTAAAGAATTTGATATATTGATATTTTCATCAAAAATTTATAGAAACTCTCGCCTTGTTTTTTTAATTATATATTATCAGAAAATTGTAAAACAAAGAATTCTTTCAACTAAAGAAGAATCTCGCAACCGTTTTTCATGTCTATAACAGACTTGAGTGTCTTTTTTCTTTAAATTGTTAATCTCATAAAAATACACACCCACTTTACTTTTCCCAAAGTAAAAACAAAAATATATTCTCATTTTTTTTAAAAGAAAATATTAACCCATCTCCATTTTTCAAAATTAAATTTTCAAATGTCTAAAATGTTTGGGTTTTGATATTCATGAGTATACTTGTATAAATGTAGCCACGTTTTGTTAATGCCATTGATTTTCGTAATTGGTAAACATACCCATATTTATAAAAAGAGAATGTAACATATCTTTTTTCACAAATGTAATACCATAGGATTTAAATATATTGTCATCCACGTAAAAATCTACACATCCTATTTCCCTCTCCGATATGTATGTACCCAAGAAGGTTAATTATTTATAAAATTCATTCCTATATTTTAAGACGTCTCTTGTGCTCCCTGCGGCCAAATGACCAACCCATCTCCCCCTCCCCCAGATTTAAATAAAATTAATAAAATCTTCCACAGGGTTGTTGCCCCTTCAATTCCCAAACTAACATTTTGCACTTCATATGGTTTGCTCTTATTTGGATGAGTCATCAGTGGATTAGTGAATGCTATTTGGATGAGTCATCAGTGGATTAGTCAATGCTATTTGGATGAGTCATCAGTGGATTAGTCAATGCTATTTGGATGAGTCATCAGTGGATTAGTCAATGCTATTTGGATGAGTCATCAGTGGATTAGTCAATGCTATTTGGCTATGAAATTTTGCTGTACTGATTGACTTAAACAGCATTTTGTTTACGAGAAGTATATTTAAAGGTTAGTTTTTAATTATGCTATAAATTTAATAAAAGCATATTATTAGAATTTTAAAAAGCTAAAATTTTTGGGTGTTTTATTATCAATTTAAAAAGCAACCAATCAATTATATTTATTAATTTTACTTTTAAGTTGAGGAAAATATATTATCAGTTTTGTAACACACATTTATTAAATCAAAGAAACTTAGGAGTTTAGGCTAAAATAGGCGATTGGTGCTTTGATGTCGTTTGCTTATTTATTTAGAAGGTATTAATTTTAATTTTATTTCCCAAAATTAACAGCGCACTAAAAAACTTATTAAAAACTGCTGATGTTTGGGTTTTCAAGATAAAAGTGATTACAGCATAATTCTTTGATAACAATTTTTTGTAAAACTTTTTTTTCATAACTTTCAAACGCATATAAAATGCTTTAGATATTTCCTTAGTTTTTAATTTAAATTTATTTTTAATTTATCTTCTACTACCCGTACTACTTCTATATATTAAGGGCCCATGATAAATGTATTGATCATTCTGGCTCTAATGCTTGTAGAGGGGATTTGCAATGCTTCTGTGTCTGGTTTTGAAGAGAATATTTACTAAAATAAAAGTGGATACATAATATTTTTTGCACGTTTAAATTTATTCGATTTCGGTAAAATAGAAAATAACTATGATCATTTTTAAGAATCCAAACGTATTTAAATTTTTTCGGTTCTTTGGCGTTACGGTCAGCCTAGCTCATTCTTATATATATGGCAGAGTATGGGCCCAGTAGTATAGGAAGGTGGGTGCAGAAGGAGGTGGGTGGGGGGTGTGGGGTCGTCCAAATCAGGCCGATCTTTTTTCTTTATATTATGGAGGGGCAGGATTTTCAGAGTATTTTTCTGTGAAAAGGGAGCGCAAACATAAATATTGGCCCAGGGAGACATTAACCTTAGCTACGCTACTGTATGGAACTATAGACAAATAGCGTGGAATGAATTTCTTAGTAAATCAGTTATTTATAGGAAGGGGGTTAATGATGTTTTAAAAAAAAATTCAACCACAAAGTCAGAAACAGTCACATATTTCGTAGAGTTATTAACATTTGTCATCCTTTTAAATAGTTTGAATATGACCAGTTGAAAAACTATTAGTTTGAATCTGACCAGTTGGCTCAGCTGCCAGAAAATCATTGCTTCATAAAAATACCTAGTGATAAATATCTGACTCTCTTGTAGCAGGCTACTCCACTTACTTTAGGAGAGTAGGCACCCATAAATAAAGCATTCTCAACACCTTTTGAGGTTGCGACAACACCAATGCCTTGACTGTGAACCTTGGGATGACTGCTGAGCCAGTTTATGGCTTCCTAAATTAAAACAACAAAAAGACGCATTATCTCCCCTGACACCTAAAGAAATACATGAAAAATTAAACCATCTAACATCTGCAAACAATATCCACTTCATGTGGAATGATAGGGAACCTAATGTTGCTGGTAACACAGGTGTCTTGGAATTTCCCCCATAATTAAGTCAGTGTAAGTAAACTTTTGAAATATGATCTGATTTTGATAGAACTTGATCAAAACTATTTGTTTTTTTTGCTTGCTGTTTAAAGGTTTAAGAGTCACTCAATGGTGTTAAAAGGTTTATTAGTCCCCTGATGTTGCGTTGCTTTAGAAAATATCAATACTATTGGCTGCATCCCATAACATTCAGCCACTGCCATTTTATGTATGGCAAGAAAAAAGAAGATTATTCTTACTTCAATAAATAGTGGAACAAGATATGTTTAGGCTTGATATGTTTAGGGTATAAATCTTTCTTCTTAGTATAAAAAAAAGGGGGGGGGGGGGTGGGGGACTCAAAGACGTCTGGGCCTTCAAGGGGACACAATAAGCATAAGAGGACCCCCCCCCCCATACGTTATATGTTATCATCCACTTTTCACTGGTACTGTGGTTAACAGCACTTGGAAATATTTGTGCAAATTACCAGTTTGGGGTATTAAATCAGAAATGCGCGTCAAGCTCTAAACCCTCATCTTTTAGGCCCTCATTCCATAAATGGACAAGGCATATACAAGGGCCACAATGTTGACTCTGGCTAGGGCCACGTTGACTCTGCCTAGGGCCACAATGTTGACTGCCTAGGGCCACGTTGACTCTGCCTAGGGCCACAATGTTGACTGCCTAGGGCCACAATGTTGACTCTGCCTAGGGCCACAATGTTGACTCTGCCTAGGGCCACAACGTTGACTCTGCCTAGGGCCACAATGTTGACTCTGCCTAGGGCCACAATGTTGACTCTGCCTAGGGCCACAACATTGACTCTGCCTAGGGCCACAATGTTGACTGCCTAGGGCCACAATGTTGACTCTGCCTAGGGCCACAACGTTGACTCTGCCTAGGGCCACAACGTTGACTCTGCCTAGGGCCTAAAGAACTTGATCTGGTCTTATGACTTCACGACACACAAAATCATAATAATAAAACATTTGATACATTTGATTTCACTTATAAATGAACATTTTTCAAGTTATTATAAGTGAACATTGATTCAGATAGAAGCACCTCAAAATAATCATAGTCCAGCGTGCTTAAATCTTTGGGCAAGTCCTTGAACTTAAAGTAAGGTAGGCAAAGGGCAGCAAACCCTCTCGATGCCAGTAATGCAGCTCTGTATTCGATGACACCTCCATTGGCACCAAACATATCAATGACGCCTTGGAATGGCCCTTCACCTGCGAAAAAGTTTGAATGGTACAAGTTCAAATTGAATATATAATTCATGAAGTTTATAGAAGATCTCAACCATCAACAAATGGGAAATGACAATTTGGCTGTTATTCTCATACACAACTCATGAACACATCTAGTTCTAATCATCATTTTTTATTCTTAAATCTATCCTTCCTTGCATAAAAGCAGTTGATATATAAGTAAATTAATTTTTATCAAAGCTATTGATAGTTGACATATTAATTTTTTTAAATCAAAATATTTTTATTACATATGACTTCCCCTCACTAACCTTTAGGAAGATACAAGACTCCTCTGACTCGACCTTCCTCTATTTCTAATCTTGTTACATCTTTACCCTTAACCCATCTTTCCACATTTAAAGAGGCAAGAATTTCCAGTTGAGACACAGGTTGACTGTAAATAGAAGCCAGACTTAGGTGGCCTAAGTAGGCCCGAAGGCGGAAAATGCAAGGGCGCTCTGTATCTTTTATGATCAACCTGCTGGTTGGGGGCTGGCCAGGTGCTGGTTTTAAACTCCAAAAGATACCCATTGGCTCTACACCTACAGATAAGATCAGAAGCTGTGAAACTATGGCTTAGGCTGCAGACAACATTTATAAATTTATTATACCCAAGTCACAGATTTTATGTCAGAGCATGACTCAAGGAGTTTTATATTAATTAGGAAATATATATTACTTATCATAGATGATCCAGGCAAAGTCACCTAAACTTTTCCAAAGCGGTAGAAATACTTTTATGTATGTCTACTAAACAACATAATATGCTCTTCTTATGAACCGGGTACTAAAACAAACAAATAACCTGTGTATGTGCCTCCTTGGCTTGACTGTGCTGTCACATCAATGTGCCCATTGTGGTCAGTGCTATAATAACCACATGAAGCAAAAATGTTTTTCCTGTCATTTTCAACTTCGCCATGTAGAGTAATTTTAACTCCTGTTGGAAATCTGTGACAATGAATCTTGACCACTTCATCATAGAGACCGACCTAAACAAAAAAATTGTAGTAAAACATTTGACTATCACAAAACATAATTCATTATCAAAATGCAGTAAAATCATACGAATTCATAATAAAGGTAAATTAGTTTTAAAAAGAAATCAATCACATTACAAAGATAGTTATATAAATCAAATGATGCATTTTCTTGGATTCTTTCCTAGCTTATAAATCTATTTATTTATTTTCAATTTACAATATTTTTACACCAGAACACATGCAGGACTCCACTGAAAAAAAGCGGCATCTAGCAGCGACGCCTAAAAATGGCCCCAATCAATATATAGAAAAAATTCCACCTGTGCCCATCAGTAAAATAAGGATTTTTGCGACCCTTGACTTTGTGAATAACATGAGATTTTATAGTTTAATGAACTACTAAGGTCCTATCTAAAGACAATTTTGGCCCCCACCCCCACCCCACACAGGTGCCCAAACCGAGTAACCTGCACCCCCCCCCCCCAAACCATCTTTTCCTCTTCAGGCATTTTACCTGGGGCTCAACTGTAATGAAAGCCTCATGAGTTTTTGTACTGCTGCAGGCACTGATGACAGGATTTTTGAACAGTGAAGGAGAACTCGGGGAAAATTGCAACAGGTGTTTACTTAATGTCACCAGCCTCCCACACATTAATTCTGTTTAAAAAAAATTGTAATTACAAATTAATTGAAAGCTTTGAATTAAATTTTTCAGGCAATGATATAAATATAAACAATATTTTATTTAGTAATCGCTTGAATGGAAAGAATAATGTGTCACTCATTATAAACTTTATTTATGGCATGTATCAAGAAGACATTTGACATATAGTTTGTAGAGCTGTTGATACTAATATAACTGTATAAAAAGACAAAGTTTGATGCGCTGTCATAATTTAAATACAATTATTCAATTAGACTATCTCTAAGATTATCGTCGCAACATCAATGTAAATGCCAATTTTGATAGTTCAAAGAACAACATGCCTTTAAACTCAAATATCTTTGTGCTGTAAGCTTACTTCTTCTCAATAAAAATTGTTACAAATTGATAAATGTCTACTTATTCACTTTCCTTGTTGAGAAAGACTAGTCCTAAACAAAATACATTTTATGAGTATAATTCCCAGCAGTGGTTCTCATAATATTTTTCAGCCACCACTTCCCCTTTCTCCCTTTGGGACACAAACTAGTCCTGAGCACGGCCTCTTATAAAACTTTACAGATTAATAAACTGCAGGACCATCAGAAGAAAATAATTATACAATTAAATGTCAACGTGTAACTTAGAGCAGAGTTTTTTACTTAATACAAATGATCTTTTTACTTTTATTATTTCTTTAATAAGCTGATTAATTAAAAAGAGATTAAAAAAAACAAAATTATTATTTACCAAGAATTTTTTATATCTTGTGCCTTCAATAGTTATTACAATGGTTGGGCTGGGCTAGTTTTCAATGACTGGTTTGAAGTCTCTTAGCAGAAAATGAATTCACTATGCTCTAATATCTACCCTGGTTCTTTGCATGGAGCAAAGTTTAAGAACATCACTTAAACCACCTTCCATCAAATACGATGTTGATAGAAATGCAACAATGAGCTTCTTAACCACCTTGTACTATGCAAGATACCTATAGAAATAGAAATGTTCCTTTTGAAGTCAAAACTCTTGGTACCATTTCTTTAACTTTGGCTTCTTCTCAATATCATTTTTGCAGCAGCCCTTCCTCCAATTCACTAACAACTTTAATTGTGAGTTATGTTCCCCTGTTTATTTATATCAATTATGAAAAATAGATTTATCATCCAGTTTTTTTACATCAAAAGAAAATCCTAAAAGCCAATTTTTAAGAAATCGTTTTTAAATTAAGCAGCTTAGATGCCCCCCCCCCCCACACACACACAGTAGTTTTGGCTCCCTCAATTTCTGCTCCCCCATCCCCGATGAACGTTACTGTAACGATCCCTTTTATTTAATAAATAAAAATATAATTTTTTACAACAAAAAAAAATCCTAAAAGCCCATTTTTAAAAAATCGTTTTTAAATTAAGCAGCTTAAAGGCCCCCCCCCCCCCACACACACACAGTAGTTTTGGCTCCCTCAATTTCTGCTCCCCCATCCCCGATGAACGTTACTGTAACGATCCCTTTTATTTAATAAATAAAAATATAATGATAATGCCTATGTCATTTACTGATGAAACAGGGAGGGGGAACCATCCATTTCATGCTTCACCCTGGGCACAACTTTTCCTTGGACCTCCCCAGGGGCCCCCCTTTTCAATTAAGACTGAGAATGAAGCTCTTCACACAAAGTTCAAAGTATGGTATTGGGCCCAGCTCCGCCCACACTCCCTCATCAGTCATCTCTTTAAAAAAAGGGTCATTCAGTGCACCCCTGAGCTAATCAAAAGCCCACGTGACTATAAAAACCACTGATTTATACTTTAGTCTCCATTGTCGGCTTCGCTTAAGCTTATAAACTTGTGTTGCTATTTTTTACAATACTCACTACAGGGTATTAGCCCTAACCTAGGCCGCCCTAGCCCAATTACACAAAACTAGCCCTGTCACTACAGTTACGGTTAATACTACCAGTGCTAGTCTTCTCCAATTCCAATGGCCTATTAATTATTTATTATTTATAATATATAGCCTATAGGCCTATAGCTATAGGTATGGTTGTCAATAGTATCATTTAAAAATTCGTTAGCAATGGTAAAATAATTAGTCATTTTCATTAAAATTACAATATTTTGAGTTTACAAAACTGACAATACTTTTGGATTCCTGACCTGATCCCTTACTTATACTTATATTAAGTTATATTATAATAATTATATCGTTATTATTATGTGATGTCGATGTGATTATTGTGATGTAGTCCTGTAATTGGTTCTTTGCAGATTCAGAATATAACAAATAATATCATTGATAATATCATGAACACGTAAATTCATCGATGAAATTAATAACTGTTTAAGAAATAAAATTTACCTGTCTTCATTATGAATAGAATTCTTTATCGACCCTTTTGAGTATTGAACTTCATTAGTTATAAGGACAGGCTCAGCTGAGTTACAAAAGTGTTGTTTTTTTCCCGGGAGTATGTTCGTGCTGAACTTTGAACTTCTGTTTTGCACTATTAAACCGGACATGAGAGTGGAGAGTCTTGACAGTAATAAAGGTTCTAAAAATAAGTAATATTATGCTTTTCTGAATATACACAAGCGTACGTTTTAAATGGAATAATTTGATTAGCGTATAACATACATTTTCATACCGGTAGATATATTCGTAAGGAAAGATGCCTAAGTAATTACAAATAAATTAAAGTAAAGTCTTGGTCGATTTAAGTTCTGACGTTTATAATTTATTTAAACGCTTTCACCTTTCATTTCAATGTCAAAAAGTAACAGTTTCCCTTTACCTCCCACTTGTCATGGTCCCCTGCCCCCCTCCCCACACACACGTTCCCTACAATACTCCATTTCTTTAATCCATGGGACGGCGAACTGGGTAAATTACCCGAGATGGGGTAAAGTCTAGGGAATAACGAGGGCTATTAATAGACATGAAATGAAGGTGTCTTTAAAGCGCGTTATCCTCTCTCTGCTAATTCCCCCTGGCAACATTGCATCTGACGACACTCGTCCCGGGGTGCACTATCAGGCAGGGGGCTCCGACCTGCTAATTCCCCCTGGCAACATTGCATCTGACGTCACTCGTCCCGGGGTGCACTATCAGGCAGGGGGCTCCGACCTGCTAATTCCCCCTGGCAACATTGCATCTGACGACACTCGTCCCGGGGTGCACTATCAGGGGGCTCCGACCTGCTAATTCCCCCTGGCAACATTGCATCTGACGACACTCGTCCCGGGGTGCACTATCAGGGGGCTCCGACATTGTCTTTAGATAGGACCTTAATGGTGAATTTAACGCTACAATTCAATGCACATCATAAAGACAAGGGCGCCAAATTGTCTTTTCACTGATCACTCCAGGGTGGCACTTTTTCCATATTTTGACGGGCGCCATTTTGAGGCTTTGCTCCGCGCGTAATAGAGAGGAGCACCCAACACGGCGTAGGTACTTGTGGTTCGGCAGCTAGCATAAGCCTTGTGGCGTCCCTAGAGTTGGTGTCACCTAGTGCGGTAAACTCATGTTGTCACAACTCCAGACTTCCTCGTGGACCCCCTCCGAATCTGAAAGCTCTGAGGACACACAACTTTGGTGGCAGCCTGTTCTGGTGGCATTCTACTCTGGTGGCACACTGCTCTTGTATTTAACTTACATCTGCTCTAAAAACCAACTTGATGGAGCGCTCTCAATTTTACCATTTTCCAGACTGTGTCCCCCTCCCTGTATGAGCTTCCCCAGGTGCAGTCCACACCACTAGTGACTCCACTGCTTATGCTCAAAGCGAGAAGATACAAAGGCTCCCAAAGTTGCACTTGTTCAAATTGCTCTGACATCTAAAAGCCCCATGTTTGATGGCCCCAGGTTTGATGGCCCTATGTTTGATGGCCCCAGGTTTGATGGCCATATGTTTGATGTCCCGTGTTTGATGGCCCTATTTTTGATGGCTCCATGTTTGATGGGCCCAGGTTTGATGGCCCCATGTTTGATGGCCCTATGTTTGATGGTCCCATGTTTGATGGCCCTATGTTTGATGGTCCCATGTTTGATTGTTCCATGTTTGATGGCCCCATGTTTGATGGTCCCATGTTTGATGGTCCCATGTTTGATGGTCCCATGTTTGATGGTCCCATGTTTGATGGTCCCAGGTTTGATGGTCCTATGTTTGATGGCTCCATGTTTGATGGGCCCAGGTTTGATGACCCCATGTTTGATGGCCCCAGGTTTGATGGCCCTGTGTTTGATGGCCCCATGTTTGATGGTCCTATGTTTGATGGCCCTATGTTTGATGGTCCCATGTTTGATGGCCCTATGTGTGATGGTCCCATGTTTGTTGGCCCTATGTTTGATGTCATTGTATACAAAAACAAAATGAATTCCTTTGTTCCATAATGAAGATTGTATTAATTTTTTTAAATAATTTATTTTATCCTTTTTATATTTATAATTGTCTCTCCGTACAAATATATAAAACAAGTGTCTGTCATTTTCTAATTTTCAAATCATGAATTTCATAATGATCAATAAATTGACCGTAGGCCCTTAACATATAGATGAAGAAGGTGATAACTTAGTCGTAAACAAATATATTTGGGGACAATGGCTAAGAAAGATCGCCGACCCCCCCCCCCC